AGAACCAAAACTTTGTTTTTATTACTGAATTAGATTATTACGCAGTGTGGCCTTCGAAGAGAAAAGTCTTTTGAAGTTGGACACACACACACACGAACACACACACACACACACACACACACACACACACACACACACACACACACACACACACACACACACACACACACACACACACACACACACACACACACACACACACACACACACACACACACGTGCATACGCACACGCACACACATACCATTATCCAACATCAAAAGTGACACACACATATCATTTCAGTAGCAAGTGACCCTCGCAGAAAACAATAAAAAGTGTGACATTTTGCTGCAGGCTTCAAAGGGTTAAAATTATCGCCATCTTGTAGACAAATGTGAAAATTGAAAGCTTGAAGTTCAAAATGAAATCTTAACATAAAGGAAATCAAGAGTTTATGATAAGATAAATGTGGGGTCAAAAAAAGCATTTTCAATGGTTTTCAATGGGGCATTTTTTGCCGCTAGGAACTAATGTGTCGGTTTTTGTGTAGCTTAGCCATTTTAGGCTAATTTAAAAAACTGAGACGACAATTCAATATACAACTAAAAAAGAATATCCTCTGGCAAATTTGAGCAATATTCATTCAACACAGCCAAAATGGCATTAACATGAAAACCCGAATGGCTGAAAAATGGCCCCAGGGACTCTTAAGGGTTAATAACCTAAAGTCACTCTGTTTCAGTGGTGGAATGTAATGAAGTACATTAAAACTGAACACAGCACAAACATTTAAACAGGTTCAATGTATGTTGGTTTTCTTACCCGTTCCTAGCAGCGAGGTGCAGGGGGGTACAGCCGGAGATGTCCTGGTAGTTTGGGTTGGCCCCTCTCTTCAGCAGCAGAACCAGACACTCCACTGAGCCACAGCTGAGAGAGAGAGAGAGAGAGTCAGAGCAGCTGAAAACACTTCTGTCCTGAATGCACACAAATCCCCCCTCTCAATATCTGACACATCAATGTGTTCATTATTTTATTTTTTTACTCAACCAAATTATAATATATACCCTGAACCAAAAAATCAAATGTGGATTTGAATGATTCCAAAAGTATATTTGAGCAGCAGTAGCAGTGAATAAGGCAATAGCCCAGCCTTATATAAATATATAAACCTATGATATATAATAATTCTGACCACAGAAAAAAGAAACGTACGTTTTCATTCAGTGATGGGGGCTTAATGTGCATAGGTATTTTTGTCAACACGCATATTTTTGCGTGTTGCCATTTTATTTGGTGTGTATTGTTTATCTGATTAATTTATATAAATATAAATTATTTTTTAATTTTTTTAAATGATCAAATCAAATCAAGTTTTATTTATATATCACATTTTCAAACAATTTTTCGTCGAGGCAAAGTGCTGTACATATAATAAAAATACCCTACAATAAAGACACTTTACAGCAAATACAACAGCACAGTTTGTTCAGAATATCAGTATGAGAAAACAACACCCTCTGTCCTTAGACCCTCACATCGTACAAGGAAAAACTTCCAGAGAAAACCCACAGTTTAAAGAGAAACATGGGAGAAACCTCAGGGAGAGCAACAGAGGAGGGATCCCTCTCCCAGGACGGACAGACATGCAATAGATGCCGTGTGTAAATCGAAGAGATAATAAATTTTACAGCGTTGGTAAAATGATCATTTGTCCTGCTGTTTTTTCCACTGAAAGGCGGACTGCTTCGTCTGTGCGCTCTGACTTTTTTTTTTTATATTTCAAAGGCTCATTATTACAGTGTTAAATTACATTCAATTTGTAGCACAACAAATTGTGATGTTGCTTATACAATCTTTCTCAGCCCTTGAACTGAAAACATTTTGTGAACAATTATAAATAAATATTATTAATATTCATAATACTTCATAAACGAATTGACGACTACTGTTCGACTTGAAAAATACTAAGTCGAGGGCAACCCTAGGTGCTATACTATTAATGTTCAGTTATAACCAATCCACTTTTCGTTAGTCATCCATGGTAAAAACCTAATGATGCACCAACCACACAAAAAACACTGAGTGGGACATTTTCAAGTTTGAATGTCAACTGCAAAAAGTCTCTCAAAGACAACCTATCCAAGGCAGACACTAGTTTCAACATCAGCTCAGTCGATGTGCAAACCCATACCCACATATCTGCAGTAGGCTAATATTGGCTGGTCTACCTCTCATTGGGACTTCTGTGTTTTCATATACTACTTTGGCACGAGGCTGCACCACACACATCTTCTTGCAATTTTTGTTTATCTGCTGGACAGGAAGGAGGGTACTGGCAGACTTCAAGGGTGTACTTCCTATTAAATAAGACCAGAGTGAGTATATCTTACTTGGCAGCGATGTGTAGCAGACTCCTCTTCACTCGACCAAAGGCATAGTTCACATCAAACTTGGAGTTGAGCAGCAACTCTGACACTGACCTTTAGGAGAGAGGAAGGAACAACTCAATGACTTCCTAATGAAACAACAATATGAAACAGAACAAGCAGCAAAGCGAGCCTTGATACATGTTTTCTTCCTCTAGCTCTGAGATCAGTGTGTGTTTATGCTAAAACCTACTTGTTATCTTCTTTAACTGTGTTTGTGTATGCACCATGTACACTGAGGCAAATTCCTCGTATCTTTAAACCTACTTGGCAATAAATCTGATTCTGTCTTACCTGTACTGGTCAGCCATGACCATCGGCATGAGTGTGTACACGGCAGTCTCATTGTCTGTGGGGGGAGGAACAGAGGATGAATAACACTATTAGACTTGAACATTGAAGAAGAAGAAACCAAACCCCCAACCATTCGCTATTTTTATTTTAATAACAGAGTAAAAAAATGAATTTCCCTAGGAGTTTAATAAAGTATGCCTTGGTCATACATTCCAGAATACTGTTACATTAAGTGTATACTATATAATGTATTGGTAAACACCTTAGAGACAATGTGCGAGTTTGCTTTATGCTTTTTTAACAGCACAGATAAGAACATTCCAGTAAATTTTGTTGTAGTAGTACAGTTGTAAAGTGTACTTTATATTCATCACCATTACTTGGTGCTGTCAAACATAACACTGAGCCTTAAGGCTGCTCCTGTATGCTAGGCTGTCAAAGCCAAAAGTCATACACTGCAAACAGACCTTTTTATATACAGTCTATGACACAGACATGTCAGTTATGTCCCCTACTTGCTGTGTAATGAACTCAGTGACAGACAGAGGCAGGGTGCTGTCACCTCTCACTCTCTCTGTTTACACTGTCAGCTCCTCTGTGCTAGCTAAAGCCGTTAGCATCCTGTACCTTCCGGGAGTTCAACCGTCCTGGCCCGGCGGAGGGAGCGGGTCAGCCGGCTAAGCTGTACGTTGAGCTGCTCCATCGCCCGTTCCATTATATGTTAACCGTCCAGCTAGAGGAACCGGGGGAACAAAGCCTTGCCCGTCGAATGTATGTCGTCCTAGTGGGGGGGGTGTTGTTCCTGGGCGTCGTCCATGGGCGCCATGGGCAGAAGGGAACCGTTCCCTCACCAACCTTTGATTTACAACTCTTCTTTGCTCCTACCACACTGCTCTGCTGCTCCACAACCCTACTGCCCAGACTTCCTGTTGTGATGACGTTTACACGCTATGCGGTGTGGGTGATGTAGCCTAGTTTCCATGGCTTAAAGTGAGCATTTTTGCAGATTATTGGCAAAATCTAAATTGTATATGTCATCAACATCTTTTTATTATTATGTTTTAAATGATGGTCAAACGTCAGGGGGCAGGTGAAAGATCAAGATGATATGCCGTAATGCCAATAGATTTTATCAGCTCAACCATATAATAGGCCAATTGTAAGATCAACTATTCAAGGGCCAGGCTGTGTTTTTCATCATTCACTCCCTTTCATGTAGTAGGCTATATTTTATTAATCAGGACCCTTAATCTGTAATTGAAGAAAACTCCCCACTATCCCACTGGGATTCTTGGAGCCATTCTACGTGTAAATCCATGTATTTTTAAAGCTAGCATGGGTAATGTATTTTATATATTTTTAGTTATATTGTATATAATGTACATTTTGCACAAAAAAGTGATTATTGCACTATGCTGAGTGAAGCAGCAGAACAAAAGTAGAATGCAAGAGTGTATCTTGCACAAGATTGTAATAGTCTATAGTGTGCCGTGGTGGTTATATAGTCTGCAGGAAGGAAGGAGCTGTGGTATCTCTGCGTGAGACACCATGGGTGCTAAGCAGGGCCGGCCCTAGACTTTTGGGGGCCCGAAGCGAGCTTTGGCTTGGGGGCCCCCCTCACTCTAGCGCGTTCTCACTACACACAACACGGAACCAACTTTTGTCTTATGATATTAGCATAAGCACACATATTGTATAAATAAGCATGTAAACACCGTGGACCAAACCTCCTCAAGGGGGGTCCAGGGGCATGCTCCCCGGGAGGATATTTTTTTTAAATATTGAAGTTAAAAGCATCAATC